TGTATGTATGTATGTATGTATGTATGTATGTATGTATGTATGTATGTATGTATGTATGTATGTATGTATGTATGTATGTATGTATGTATGTATGTATGTATGTATGTATGTGTGTATGTGTGAATATGTATATATGTATGTGTGTGTTTGTGATTGTACACGTATGTCTATATGTATGTGTGTGTAGTTGTGTTTAGAGCATGCCTGCCCCCTACCCAACAACCCTCACTAAGTGCTAGAGTGCCGCTCCAAGCCACTACTTGGTGCAATCGACATTTCTTAGCCAACATAATTGGCACAAAGAAACTAGACCACAATTATAACCAAAACTGCTCGCAGTAGGTTGAACTTGGTCGATCACTTTCTGTCTCTTGTCTTGGTAGTACTGCTGCTAGACCATCTCTCGATATTGTCCTCTCACTTGTATCGTTGTCTATCTCTTGCCTGTGACTTTTCCCTATAGTATGGTTTTCAGAATAATGTGTCTTTTAATGTGACCCAAATATTTTAACTGTCTCTTTTCTGTTTTATCAAGTAGTTCTCTTTTCATTCCCAGTTTTTCCAGAACCTCTGTGTTTGATTGTTTTTATTTCCATGAAATGCACCCCATTCTTTTGCTTCCATGAAATACGACATACTTGTATTTTTCTGTACATCCATATTTCCAGAGACGGTGCTTTATTAATATCCTACCCCAAACAGGGGAAATCCACAGGTCACAGGACAGTCTAATATTCCATGGGTGGTAGATAGGCTGCATACAGGCGTGGGACCTAGGCTGCATGCAGTCTTGGGACCTAGGCTGCACTCTCGTGGGACGTAGGTGGGTTGAGCTTCGGGGCCAGTTCTAGATGTTTTGGGGTCGTTAAAATCATCAGAAAGCCGGGAAACCCAGACTTACCACCCTCTAAAATGTTGGACTGTCCAGTGACGTTATCTAGGGTAGGATATTAATCAAGAAACCCAGACACTAATTTAGATTTTCTAGTTGCTTGTTCATAGACCAGGTTTCTGCACCATACAACAGGGTTGGGTATACATAACATTCGACGATTCGCATGTAGTTACAGAAACCGGATTTACACTTTTACGTCGTTTCGTTGCTTTGCTTGGAAAATAAAAACCCACCCCGTTCAACCAGCATTTCTGAAAAAAGGAAAAGGGGGGGGGGGGTGGTTTGGGTTATAATTGTGACTAGGCTATGTGCATCATATAAAATGACTTAGCATTGCACGCCACCAATAGCCTTAAAAAGGACCCCTGTTGTGTTGATGCGATCAAAGGAGACATACCCAAATACTGTCCCGACAAAGTCGTCTACTGGAGAGCCAATAGGCGATCCGGTCGCAGATGATAATGATGTAATTGTTACAGTATTCCAACTGGTTATACTTTCACAACTTTTAACTCAGTTCAGTCCATTTCACTTTTAATAAGTATAAACTGAAGCGGTACACACACGATTCTGAAGCACCAACACGTACCTGAAGAGACAACTAAAGTGTTACCTTCACGCTGAGCAATGAGGATTATTAGAAATGTGAAAGATTACTTCTTTAAGCAGCACCTGTTCACCACAAACGTCCTGACGTGCGGATCTCTCCTGGGTCTTGGTGATTGTATGGTTCAGAAAATTAACACTATGTTTGAGGAAAACATAAAGTATGACTTTGCAAGGACGGGTGAGTGGATATTACTTCTGTCTGTTTCTTCTTTAAAAGACAAAATCATCTTCCCTTTCTACATTTATAATTCCTAGTGTAAGTTTCGGGGGCTGCAGTTTGTTTCAGTGGCGGGATTTGGAAGGGGGGGGGGGGGGATAGACCTACTGACTCCCTGTTAAACACATCGTAAAAGGTAACATATGAGTTATTTTTTCTCTCCTAAGTGTGAGCCAATCTGCGTGAGAGACAAGTTATTTGCAGTCTCCATGCAAATAAGCAGCTCTGTAAAATGATTGTGCACTTAATTAAACAAATACAAATGCTGGAATGAGACCAAAGTCCAAAAGTGGACGAACATCCAGAACTTTCACCCAGAGTTTACAGCCGGTGAAGATTAAGAAAGAGAGATGCGGATATTGGATATATAGTGCCAGCTCTATATACTTGTATAGATCATTCACGGCGCAATTAGTAACATGATTATTATCACGTCAGTTGCTTTACTGAAATTATTTCTTGACCAACTTAAATATAAATATCCGCCTGACTATATTTGGTTGGGAACAAACTTAAATATAAATATCTGTCTGACTATATTTGGTTGGGAACAAACTTAAATATAAATATCTGTCTGACTATATTTGGTTGGGAACAAACTAAAATATAAATATCCGCCAGACTATTTGGTTGAGAACAAACTTAAATATAAATATCTGTCTGACTATATTTGGTTGAGAACAAACTGAAATATAAATATCTGTCTGACTATATTTGGTTGAGAACAAACTTAAATATAAATATCTGTATGACTATATTTGGTTGAGAACAAACTTAAATATAAATATCTGTCTGACTATATTTGGTTGGGAACAAACTTAAATATAAATATCCGCCTGACTATTTGGTTGGGAAAAAACTAAATATAAATATCTGTGTGACTATATTTGGTCGGGAACAAACTTAAATATAAATATCTGTCTGACTATATTTGGTTGGGAACAAACTTAAATATAAATATCTGTCTGCTTTTTTTGGTTGGGAACAAACTTAAATATAAATATCTGTCTGACTATATTTGGTAAGGAACAAACTTAAATACAAATATCTGTCTAACTATATTTGGTTGGGAACAAACTTAAATATAAATATCTGTCTGACTATATTTGGTTGGGAACAAACTTAAATATAAATATCTGTCTGACTATATTTGGTTGAGAACAAACTTAAATATAAATATCCGCCTGACTATATTTGGCTGGGAACAAACTTAAATATAAATATCTGTCTGACTATATTTGGTTGGGAACAAACTTAAATATAAATATCTGTCTGACTATATTTGGTTGGGAACAAACTTAAATATAAATATCTGTCTGACTATATTTGGTTGGGAACAAACTTAAATATAAATATCTGTCTGACTATATTTGGTTGGGAACAAACTTAAATATAAATATCTGTCTGACTATATTTGAATGGGAACAAACTTAAATATAAATATCTGTCTGACTTTATTTGGTTGAGAACAAACTTAAATAAAAATATCAGGCTGACTATATTTGGTTGGGAACAAACTTAAATATAAATATCCGCCTGACTACTGACTATATTTGGTTGGGAACAAACTTAAATATAAATATCTGTCTGACTATATTTGGTTGGGAACAAACTTAAATATAAATATCTGTCTGACTATATTTGGTGGGGAACAAACTTAAATATAAATATCTGTCTGACTATATTTGGTTGGGAACAAACTTAAATATAAATATCTGTCTGACTATATTTGGTCGGGAACACACTTAAATATAAATATCTGTCTGACTATATTTTGGTAAGGAACAAATTTAAATATAAATATTTGTCTATATATTTTTGGTAAGGAACAAACTTAAATATAAATATCTGTCTGACTATATTTGGTTGAGAACAAACTTAAATATAAATATATGTCTGACTATTTTTGGTGGAGAACAAACTTAAATATAAATATCTGTCTGACTATATTTGGTCGGGAACAAACTTAAATATAAATATCTGTCTGACTATATTTGGTCGGGAACAAACTGAAATATAAATATCTGTCTGACTATATTTGGTCGGGAACAAACTGAAATATAAATATCCGCTGGGACTTCTAGCACTCCAAGCGGACACCATACCTCCAGACCACGCAGCACCCGATAGCTTTCGTGAAAGTTACCGGCCTCCTGATATAAGATTTCTGACAGAAGGATCAAAGAAGAAGAAAAATGTCTAAAAAGATACCAGTAATGCGTACTGGCAGAAAAGAAAAGTAATGAGTATAACAGTGTGTTCTTGTGTCTCCCCTTAGGTCGTATGGCAGTCATTGGTGTCATGCTGGGTCCCTTCAACCATTACTGGTACGCTATCCTTGACAGAATCATTGTGGGCAGAACACGGAAGATTGTCGTGAAAAAAATCTTGGTTGACCAAGCTGTGGCAGGCCCGTTTTTCTGCACTTCATTTCTCTATGGTCGGTCTTTTGATACAGTTAGCTTGTGTGTAGTATTGATTATACGGAGTTTTATTAATATCCCACCAGAAGCAGGGAAAATACACAGGTCACGGGACAGTCTAATATTTCAGGGGGTGGTAGAGAGGCTGCATGTAGACGTGAGACCTAGGCTGCATGCATTCGTGGGACCTAGGCTGAACTCTCTCGCGGGACGTAGGTGGGTTAGCGTTGGGGCCAGTTATATATGTTTTGGGGTCATTAAAAGCATTAGAAAGCCGGTTAACCTAGTCTTACCACCCTCTAAAATGTTGGACTGTCATGTGACGTCATCTGGTATTGGATATTAATGTTGTTTGTTTTAGTACCCAGAAGCCATGAGTTGGTAACCTTTATATAATGGATATCGCAACCTTTCGGCCTTGATTCCATTGTAAATACCATAAATCTGGGAGAAAATGTTGCTTTTCTGCCTACCCCCTGGAGTGAACACGGACCACAAGAAGTTCGTCACCTGGTCACCGCGCAATCCGGTTTAGCCAACTACGCTAGAGAGCAGGGATAGGATATTAATAAAGCACCGATTATACTTGTGGCACGAGTGGATACCATGCATCAGTACGCCAACATTGCAGGGAATCAGCGGATATACTGTCCGGAATATGCAGGAGTGCGAGGGAATGAAAGAGCAGATTATCTGGCTACAGAAGCAAAAGCTACAGGAACACTCGAACTGGACTAGGGAGATTTCCTGAAGACCATAAATGAACGAATGTTGACATAAGACACGAGATTGGATGAATTAACATGTGCAAGAATATGTGAACGAGAAATTAAGTGTGCATCCGGCCAGAAGGGATGGATGAGAGGAAAAGAACGACGTGTGTATAATCAATGTTCTACCAGAACAGTTAGCACCGACACCTTAAGATATTTGCTGCGGGAGACGGAGCATCTATGGGTATGTCCTGTGTGCTATGATGTCGATTCTGAAATCAGTAATCAGAACAATTTAAATGTAAACTCACAAGAGTGAGTCCTCCCTACGACCATTCAGGTTCCTTGTGTATACGGTTTTTGCGTCTGTGTAGTCTGACTTTCTCTCAATATGCCCCAGCCATTTCAGTCTAACAACCCTCATGATGCCAGTGATCAGTTGTGATTTAAACATTATGGATTTCATTGTGGTTTCTCAGTCTCCATTCCTCGCTGTTTGCACCTTTGATGGCTCCAAACATTCGTCATAAGACTATGTTTTGGAGAAAAGAAAATGTAATATGGTTTCATTTCTTTTAGTTGTGCTCCAAGTTTCAGAGCCATATAAAACAACTGGTCTTATCAATGTGTTATGTATTTTGATCTTGGTGTTGCGAGATAGTGACTTTGACTTTAGCAGACGTTGAAGGTCATAATTTACTTTATTTCCAGAGATATGAGATATAAGTTTGCTAACAATAATTTAAAATTACTTTCTTTCTTTTGTTACTTCATAAAATGATGTTTCCCAAATTATTAAGCTTAAAATAGTCATATACGTGTGAGGTGCTTTAAATATTCATTTCTTAAATTTGGGATAAAATAATGCGGGTCAACTTATAAAGTGGAAAATACAGCACATGCCATGTACCAGTGTCTAACTAGAATTTCTAGTGGCCTCTATTATGTCGACGCCTGTGGCTTATACAATGTAAACCCGCTTTGCAATGCCGGGGTGCCGGGTTCCATCCCAGTGCAGGAGATTTTGCCCCGCCTTGCATTGATTTCGACAATAGTATCTAGAAACGAACGTTCAGTGGCAATGGCAATCTACTTAACGTAAATTTGCCTACAAAAACCACAACAGACACACACGTACACACACATGCACGCACACAAAGCTGGTTTTGGTTCTACAACGTCCTAAAAAGGATGCGCAACTAACTTTCTTTTATACATTTCAGGTATAAGTATTCTGGAAGGGAAAGATCACGATGCTGCAAAACAGGAGTGGAAAAATAAGTTTCTCAAGATATACATGGTACGTTAGTTTATGTTGCTGAATATTGACATTTTTGTGAGCGCGTTCTTCTTGGCGTTCACGACTGTAAACTCCTGTAGAAAGTTCTGGTTTCGGACTTTAGTCTTTCTCCAGAACCTAAATGTTACGTGCACATTAATTAGTCGACTCTTACGACAAGCTTGTTGGGGAAAGCAGTGGGTCTATTCTTGTTTCACACACGAACAAAATGGAGGCCCGGAACCCACACGCAGAGTAAGGTTTTTGAAAAGTAACTATACATCCTTCTGTTGTTCCATTTATGCCACGTTTGACTCACCGGCTATTCCTCTTCCTCCATTCCGTTTATTCTTCTGCAATCCTTTCGATTTCATGGATGAAATCTTGTCCACCACTTTTCGCCTGGGTCAAACTTGTCGTAACTGTAACTGACTCAGACAGCATGTTGAGAAAGGTGGAAACAGGCATGCTGTGTGCAGAGTGGCAAGTATTACTTCAGAGGTCTCGAGTAGTTAGCATTTTTTTGGATATTTTCACCAGGTTAAAAAACGAGCAAAAGATAGAATGGCCGGTTCTGCACCACTTAGTGGTGAATTGATGCATGCCAAGCTAGATATTGTGAGGGCCCTTTGGGGGGCGAGTGAACAGTGTGGAGGCACAACTAGATCATTACGGTCTAAGAATGGCGCTTCGAGGAGTTACCAGGGGATCTTGCCGTTGCTTAACGCTCAGTGGAAAAGCGAGACGGATATACAATAAGACAGTTACTGGTGCCATGGGAATTGGAACTCTTCGCTTGCTATTGAAGATGGGGACGAAGCGCTTATGGGAGTGTCCCGAGTGCTGTGATATCGATTCAACATAAATAGCCTCGCTTATTGGGGGGTTTCTCTTGGAAACATCTATGGGCATGATAATAAATGTTAAAATATTTATTTTAAATAATGTGGACACAAATCCACATTGCACAACTTATTTGCTAGGCAGATTTCTTTGTACCTAATAAGGTTGCGTTTCTACAGAGTTGCATCAACAACAACAACAACAACAACAATAACAACAAATAAGGCATACACGCTGGATAAATTGTACTGTAACTCAAATTGTCTCTCTATTGTTTATCTAATAGCCGGACGTTCACGATAGTCACGTGACTTACGCTGTTAATTTGGAATGTACAATGAATTCCTTCTGTTTACATAAGTGGCGAATTGTTTTCTTTTTTTTTTTTACTACGTTGTGTGTTCAATATTTGTGTCTTTCCGGATATAAGAGGTGTCCAAACAGCTTCGCCACACTTTCTAAAAATAATAATTTGTTGTGGCCAATGTATTCTTACTTCAAAAATATATAAATAATAGGTGTATAGATACATTTCTAACCTGTAGAAAATAGGTGTGTAATTATATTTCAAACACTAAAATATTAAAATATTTCAACATATAATGTGAGGTCATGAACTATGTATTATACACCCACATTGTAGTATGATGTGAGGTCAAAGACTATACCTTATTACCCCATTGTTATATGACGTGTGTTTAAAGACTATACCTTATTACCCCATTGTTATATGATGTGTGTTCAAAGACTATACCTTATTACCCCATTGTTTGTTATATGAAGTAAGGTCAAAGACTATACCTGATTACCACATTGTTATATGATGCGAGGTCAAAGACTTTACCTTATTATCCCTTAACGTTATATGATGTAACGTCATAGACTATACCCTATTACCCTAATATGGTTTATGATGTGAAATCATTTGAAAATACCTTATTACCCCCATTGTTATATGATGTGAGGTCAAAGACTATACCTTATTACCCTATACTGTTATATGATGTGAGGTCAAAGACATACCTTATTATCTCACAATGTTACATGATATTATGTCACAGACTATACCTAATTACCTTTTAATGTTATATGATGTGGGTCAAACACTGTAACTCATTACCCCATTGTTATATATTGAGAAATCATAGACTATACCTTATTACCTCACAATGTTGCATGATATGAGATCACAGACTTTACCTTATTACCCCACAATGTTGTATGATATGAGATCACAGACTTTACCTTATTACCTCACAATGTTGTATGATATGAGATCACAGACTTTACCTTATTACCTCACAATGTTGTATGATATGAGATCACAGACTTTACCTTATTACCTCACAATGTTGTATGATATGAGATCACAGACTTTACCTTATTACCCCACAATGTTGTATGATATGAGATCACAGACTTTACCTTATTACCCCACAATGTTGTATGATATGAGATCACAGACTTTACCTTATTATTCCACAATGTTATATTAGATGACATATTCTACATTACTATATTACAAGAACGGATAATTTATAAACATAATCACACATACAAATTATTGTTGGTGCAATTATATTTAATATAAAGTATTTATGGTGCCTTATTAGTACCCTACCCCCAGATGACGTCACAGGACAGTCCAACAGAGTGTGGTAAGACTGGGTTTCCCGGCTTTCTGGTGCTTTTAACGACCAAAACACCAAGAACTGGCCCTAACCCCAACCCACCTACGTCCCACGAGAAAGTGCAGCCTAGGTCCCACGACTGCATGCAGCCTATCTACCACCCCCTGAAATATCAGACCGTCCCGTGACCTGTGGATTTTTCCTGTTTGGGGGGAGATATTAATACCGCACCGTCTTTATATCTTAGCTGGACTGGACATTCTGGCCGCTGGCACAGTTCATCAACTTCAAGTTTGTGCCCAGTAATTACCGGGTGCTGTACGTCTGCATCTCAACATTGATTTGGAACTCGCTGTTGTCCTACATCAAGTACAGACCGGTGAGTGGTTCTCATTCAGCAGGTCAAGAAGCAGAACCTTATACAGTGAGGGTCTCCTAGCACACACGAAGCGGTAAAAGAGAAAGTGAAGAAGAAGAAATTCGACGTTAACGCATAATATACAGGCGAGGGATCTCCGTGGCTGCGTCGTTCGGTTCAGGAGTGCGAATTTTACCGAGACCCACCGGGATCGTCGCCGGAGCTACGGGGTTCGTTCTTTGTGCGACGCTTTCGGCAGGCGGCTGGTCGTTATACGGAGATAGATTAGGCCATATGGGATCAAATCCGGAGCGGCGAAATCGATCCTCTGAACTGTAATCTTTTCTTTAACACCCTTAATCATTCATCTTTTACGACATGCTTGTAAGGGAGTGGTGGGCTCACCCCCCTCCCACCCACCCCCACATTTCCAGGACCCTGGAGCCCACAGGAGAAGGTAACCCTTTAAAAATAAAGTATATTCGTTCGTTTGAACTCAAGATCTTCAAAGCGATAGGCGAATGGAAGCCACTATGCAATCGCAGCTTCCCAAAATCAGAAGGATGTGTGCTGTGGAGAGGAGAAACACGGAGGCGGATCTTGCTAGTCGTACTCGCCATCGCCATGGGCAGAGTCTCCAATATCGTCTCCCCCCCCCCCCCCAGCTCCACCCCCACTTCTAAATAGCACAATGTAACACTTTCGTCCGTGGCTTGGGCGTTGTCAGTCAGACTCGTAATTCCAACATACGGCGATCGTAACCCACTGCTGGCTGCGTGGATATTTATCATGGTATGGGGCGTTGCCGGTGGACCTAGCCTAAAATGGGTACCAGGATGTTTGTCCTGGGGAAGTAAAGGCCGGCGTAATTGTCACATATCACTCCTGTCGCGTGCCTGATTTAAGGATTTCTCCTTAAGAACCAACAGCACTCAGAAATAAATATGTTGAGTCGTTGGCTCGTATTGGTCTAAGGGATGCCCCGTGGCCAATATATGCTCAACCTATTTCTGGAGTAGGACAACTCAAGTTTTGGCACTGCAAAATGTATATATATATATATATATATATATATATATATATATATATATATATATATATATATATATATATATATATATATATACATATATATATATATATATATATATATATATATATACATATATATATATATATATATATATATATATATATAATATTCCTAGGCACACTTGGCTGGACGCCCCCACTACTATAAAAAGATAGCCCCCAGGTTATGATAGTTTACTATCATAACCATGTTAACACAGGTAACACTTATTACTCACACAAATCAAAGCTAAACAGTTAGAAAGGTGAAAAAGGGACACCCAAGTCAGCCACGAAAATGAATTTATGTAATAAGTATATTATTTACACATGAATTCAAGAATAGATTCTCAAGAATGTTTATAGACTCATGACTCAGTGACACGACCCAGACATTGAAGCAGCCAGATATGGTCTTGATGAATATCTAGGTTCATCCTAGGAACTATGAGGAGCTGTGGGAAAAGAGCATAATGGTAATACATCTGTAACTTAACCCAGTTCGTAGATCGATGCTCCCTTCTGTCTATGGTGATTCGACTGTAGTTGACTCAGGTATCTATGTCTCTAGTTGATCTGGTACCAGTTTACCTCCCCATTGAGGACACCGGAACTGCAAAGGGACTCACAAAGTCTCTCTCACAGGTCGGATCACAACTGCCTCAGAGCTCAACCAGGCTCTTGAAGACTGGTTCACTAGGTTGAGGCCACAAATGTCTGCAAAGGTCCACTCGTCCTGAAGCTCACACACACGCTCTTGCCTTGTTGAGGTAGAGGCAGGACTTCTAGGTTCTGCTTGGTGCCTAGAATGGTATGGGTTGGTGGTTGTTGGCTGGACTGTGATTCGTCTGCCTGATCTCTACAGAGGTCTCCTCCTGTCATGAAAGAACTCAGAATTAGTAATCACTAAGGGGTATCATCTTGTCAGGAAAGAACTCAGATTTAGTAATCAGTTTTAATCACACATCAGCTCACCCCACCTCTGCTCCCCTTCTCATTTCTCAGAGTGTACTCTCAAGACCAGGAGACAATGTCTCCTTTAATTTATCGGTCTGTAAACTAGTCCAACAGATAGAAAGTCAGATATATATATATATATAGTGGAGATAGATAGACACTACCACACATAGATCATCCTCTCTCCACCCTCACATCTGCACTCAGACACACAATGTTTACAATCAGTACCCATATATCTTCCGTCTCCACAGGCCGTTCATTACACACCCATTGATCTGTGTCAAACACACTCGACGCAGAGCGCCTAGCCCTAACCTAAATTCCCTGTTCCAGTTAATGCTGCACAAACTTCGTTTGGCTGTTCAGAGAACAATTACTTGTAGGGGTTAATGTCTTTATCAAGGGTGTGGGGTATGTAGAGCGCCAACTAATTAGTCTGTACAGGGGAAGGTCTAAGGTTCGGATCCAGATCTCTGGACATTAAGAACGGTTGAACTCTGTGCGATCACATAGCTGATTCTGCCCTATCTGCAGCAGTGACCCACTTTAGAAAGACATCATTTATGGTACTCGTAAACTATAATTAACTTACCCAAGCTTAGGAAATCTTCCAAGTTAGAACTTGAACCAAGAATGCGCCAAATTCTATCAAAATTGGATAAACCTCTTGACACTTTGGGATCAGGCACAAGAATGGCGTTCTCAAAATCAAACCCGCGTCACTAGGAAAGAAGTTCCTTGTATTAATGACCAAGGAGTAAACCGGTTTCCATGAATTTTCAAATAAAACACCAGAATTACCCAATCTACAGTTGCAAGTTTGAAAATGAAGATATATCAAAGCAACTAGAGGGTCCAGAAATGACTATTTTACCAGATAAAGGTATAGATCAATATAAGGGACTATATACCTTTCCGGACGGGTCTAAGTTTGAAATCTTGTTGAGCGCAAGGGATATCAGGTCCCGACTCGTCCACTGTGTGTGGTGGCTGTTCATTCCATGACAGTAATGCTGACCACATTACCCACCTAGTGCCGATTGGTCTGTAAAAATATGGGTGCTCTTCCCATATCTTAACTTTTTTTAAAAATTACTTAACACTATCGTCTGAACAACGGAACGCCTTCAACAAAAAGAACTTGTATAATTAATACAATTGTTCCCAATTCTTTTTGTCTCAAGGTTCACGAACATGTCCGATGATGTTTGTAATCTGAACTGATGCGCCATGTTTTTTACTGCACTAGAAGTGGGTTTTGAGAAACCATTGCAGTTTCTGTTTCCTGGAGTGTAATTTGAGAAGACCACGGTGTTCAGAACTTATATGGATGGTTTAAGGGAAGTGTATTTAATAAATTCACTTGGATTACTGTCGTAGTAGTTTATAGTGTGACTTGTACATCTGGGTGTCTGTGAGCAACTAAAGCTATTGTTTTGCCCAAAAATTATGCACTGTAGCGGTTGTACTAGTACATGTGCTGTGGTTGTTGTACCTGTAGTGCAAGTACTATGATTGTTGTAACTATAGTACATCCACTACGATTGTTGTACCTATAGTGCAAGTACTATGATTGTTGTAACTATAGAACATCCACTACGATTGTTGTACCTATAGTGCAAGTACTACGATTGTTGTACCTATAGTGCAAGTACTATGATTGTTGTAACTATAGTACATCTACTACGATTGTTGTACCTATAGTGAATGTACTGTAACGGTTGCAGTCATCGTTCATGTACTGTGATAGTTGTACCAGTAGTACCTATAACGTGTTTATTGTGCAGCTTGGTACCTGTAAGCAAAGAACTGTTGATTTTTGCACCATTTGTTCGTGCACTGTGATTGTTACACAGTTGACGTGCTTTACCAGTACACTACTTTTAGTCAAAGCCCTTTGGTAACAAGCAAAGGAATCAGTAGAGAAACAAGAAATGGCCTGGAGAGAATGAGGCACTTGGGTGTAATCAGATTGTGACCTGTATCATCAGTATTGAAACTCTACGCTGGCTGCTGAAGATGAGGACTGAGTACGCATAGGAATGCGTTCCGGCTGCTACCTAAAGTTTAACCATACAATTCCGAGATAAAACACTCTCAGTCTGCAAGGCAGACCAACAAGGCAGATCTCAGATACCTCGTTCAACCTACAGAGAAATTATAATTAGGTCACCCGTAATTGCGAAACTAGCCAGATGTAACCTGCAGTCTTCAGTGGGTTACAATGCTTGAGAGAAAAGCTGGTACGTTGTGTTATAGTTTGCAGCTTTTTCTTCTTCCTAAAGACCCTGCAGTCATGTCTATCCACACCCTTCTGTCTTGTGTACTTTCGACCAGCTCTGACATAAATGATTCTCCATGCGTTGATGTCAGACTGTCCAGCATCTTTTCTCTCCGTCTCCCCCTGCCTCTCCTTCCCTCCAGCTTTGCTATTGTCACTCCAGTTTTCTCTTTCTCGTCACAAAACCAAAGAATGTAGATTGTCTCTTTCTGATGTGGGCAGTAAGTTCTCTTCGTGGGTCAGTTTCTTTCATGACGTCTTCATTGTTCTTTTTATCTGTCCAGGGTATTCTCATCATTCGTCTATAAAACCGCAGCTTCCAGATAATTTTTCATGAATCTACCAACTGTCCATGATTCATTTCCATATATCGAAATAGGATTTATAAAGCTTTTAAGAATTCTCTTTCTCGTCGGTTTACAACTAGGCTATGATATCTGTACCTTTCATTCTAGCACACGCGATTTCAACTTACTTAGTCTCACCTCTTCTACGTTGGGGTGTAGAGGTTTGCCAGAGACATCGTCAGACGTCTCTATCAGCAGTTTTCTTTCTGGCTTTGTTCCATTCCAGTCCTCTGTCAGTTAGGGACTGTCGGATGTTGTCTTCTCAGAGGACCCGGTGTAGCCTTGGAGATCTAGTTCCCTGGTTCTTAGCCTCCCACAGTGGCCGATTTTCTCTAATTCTGCATACATGTTCAAACCATGATAACTGTTACTGATCCACTTGGGTTTGTAAAGATTTGGTATCAAGATCTTGATGTAGTGTCTGATTGCAGACTTTGTCTCTTCTTTACACTTGGACCACCTTTATCAGATATCTCTTTTCTGAGGCTTGAAGCTGGCTTCTGTGAGCTGTTGTCATTGCCCATGACTCACACCCATAGGTCAGAACTGGCACATAGGTAGAGCGGTAAACAGCAATTTTCGTCTACTTTAAAATTTTTCTTGTGCTAAGAAACCCTCGGTTTAAGGCCTGGAAGCTGCTTTTCGTGTAGCCTTCTCAGTCCTAATGCTTCCGATTCGGTCTGTTACAACTCCAAAGTATTTGAGCTCTATTACAACTCCAAGGTATTTGAAAGCGATTTTAACACACCCAAAAAACAATTGCTCATTTGGTAATTGTAAGTCTATTTCCCACTTCCATCCCAAAAACCACACAGCGAAAAGAAAGCATTAATGAACTTATAAAGCCTTGTCTATCCTTGCCTTATTGTGTGTGTGTGGGAGGGAAGGGAGGGGGAGTGGGGACGTCATCACGCTCAGTCAGCATTCCCTAAGGGCGAACTTTTGGTTATAATTGTGATTTAGGTTATTTACGTCATTAAAAATAGTTTGACAATGCTCGCCAACAAGTAGCCGTGGACCCTGCAGTGTTGATGCGATCAAAGGTGGGCAGACCCAAATACTGTTCCGACTGTCAACGAAGTCGTCTAACAACCAGCCAATGGAGGCTTGAAAGGACAGCTGGCACGTTGTGTTGTGGTTTACAACTAAGCTACGATATCTGCGCCTTTCATTCCAACACATGCGATTTCAGCAAAGCCATAATTAATCGCTTTTTACGACATGCTTATTAAGAGGGACGGTACGTCTCCTTTCCTACCTCCATCCCTAAATGGGATCTCAAAACCCACACAAGGAAAATAAATCATAAAAGAACTAATAAAGAATAAATTCCGTGTTCTTTGTTTGAAAAAAAGAAATGAGTTTCAAGGGACGCAATCCAAGAGATGTGGATAAAATCCCTTGTTGGTTTGTGGTTGTGACACTTTAAAACCTTGAATTAGCTAACATTTCGCAATCAGAACCCGAGAACAAAAGAATAAAAACAACCGTATCGTGTTGCACTGTAACAGCATTGACCTGAAATTCTAAAGCAACAAACCCTCCCATGCAATGCAAAAAAAAAAAAAAAAGAATCACTTGAATTATTTGGTAATATCCCTAGACAATTCCATTGCGTTTTCTGGGCTTGGGTAAACATAGGTAACCGACTTACACAATAATCCAACAACTATTATAAACCAATTTAGTACTTTTTAGGATGACATTTTTTATTTGAAGCCGCACCCTGGCTTTTGCCAGGGGCCGCAATATAGGCAGGCCATAAATATGGCCAATTGTCTGAACGCGGTTTCTGGGACCTCTCCACGGTGATCCTCATCCACATGGTGGCACTTTGTGTCATCGGGTGTTTATCGCTTGTGTGATGTCCTAGTGGGGTAGAAAGTCAGTCACAATAATTCAACACATACACAGGACACCGACGATCGGGTCTCCCACTTGATCGCCGGTAGACTACTTCATACCCAGTCAAGAAAACACAGCAGGATCCCCTTTCAGCTCTCTTGGTGGCGTGAAATGCTAATAGCTATTTTATGTGAGGCACATAACCTAATCACAGTTATAACCTAAAACTCCCACTTCGGGAATACTGTTTGAATGTGACAATTTTTTTTTCTACCAGCAAAGCACCGACGCACACAGGACTGCAGATTAACACACCTGGCTGGTATGACTGTTACCAGTGCCCTACTTATAACTTCCTTGGATGTTGAACCGAGTACCTGGGCTGGCTCTGTTAGTCTTTTGGAGAATGCACCAAACTGTCTAACCAAGCAACTATCTAAATAACCTGTCATCTAACGCACTATGTAACGAAGCAACCATCTAATTAACCAGCCATCTAAAAAAACCTCTAACCAAACTCTAACTAGCCTTGATAAACCATCTGACTAAGTCATCATACAATTCCCCAGTCTATAAAATACAAGTCTAGCCCTATATTCCCAGTATGCATAAAGGTGCGGAAAATGGTCCTTTAATTTACTCGAATTCACCAAGTTGAATACTTAACATTTTCTCAAGGCATGTGCACAGGGATTTAAACTCTACAAGAGAGCAAGAGAATGAGCGAGCAGATTTTGTGACTACAAATGCGATAGCTGCAGAAACACATATACTGGAACAGGAAGTCGCTCTTGAGTTATAATAGATTTTTAGCCGACCCCTCGTGGAATGCAAATTTTTTTGTTTGAAGTCCCACCTTGGGTTCTGCCAGGGGCCCTGAATATAGCCGGTGCATAGATATGGCCTAGCCATAGATATGGCCTAGCCATAGATATGGCCTAACGGCTGAAAGAGGTTTCTGGGACCTCTCCACGAGTGATCCTCATCCGTATGATGGCACTTTGTGTCACCTGTTGTTTATCGCTTGTGTGATGTCCTAGTGGGGTACAACTACCTACCTACCTTCTGGAGTTATAAACGAATGCTGATTAGATGCTAGGTCACCTGACATTTAAAAACATAAACTGCAACTACTGCCTTTATTACCACTTTTGCGGTGTAGGCAGAGGGGTCTTGCCTGATGATTTACGACCCCATGGCTAGTGCTGTCGCCACGACTGTGCACGTGAAGATTTTACGACAGAAAATAAAATCCCCAGCCTTACCGAGGATTTGAACTCAAGGTTCAGCGTTCAAACTGTTCGACCAGCCGCTCCTCCACTTAACACATGTGAATTTGGAATCACATCGGATCCGACATGAAAGGACGCATGTGTGGGAGAGTACGGCATAAGTACAGTCTGCATGCTACGGGAACAGACAGTATCAACACCTTCAGACATTGTCTGCTAGAGACGGAGCATCCATGAGTATGCTCCGTGTGCTATGGTTTAAATCATGTAATTAGATCCAAAAATGTAGATCATCTCTTCTGGTGCAGTAAGTGTTGGTCTTCTTGGATGATTTCTCTTAAAACATCTCTTTACGTTAGTTAACTGTGCGCTACTATAATTCGTCTGTGAAACCGTATGATCCATTCTCCACGCATTATTTTTTTTTTAAACTTATCCTAATAGTTTCCGTGATTTACTTCCGTACACTTTTGCCTGAGTGACAAGGAACAGTTTCCATACACATAAGTCAGGTCTATAAATTTGGATGTGCACGCAAAACTTAAGTTGTAACAAAGATAAGTCCAGAAGTGGATGAACAACCATAACTGTTCTCTGGAGTTTACAGCTGTTGAACACGAAGAAAAAGTAGACTTTAGTACATCGACATCGATTCAGTATAGTTTTGGTCTTAAGTCTTAGTCGAGGTTTCAACATCACTGCAGTCTGGTTTCCCCATATTGGTATAGTTTGAATAGATGTTTCTCTACACAGCAGACAACCCATGTGGGTTCCGGGACCCCATCGTGGGGAAAACAAGAATAGACCCTCTGCCTACCCAAAAGCATGTCGTAAGAGTCGACTAATTGGGGAGCTTCCTTTGAAGTGGGAGTGCATCTGCCTGAGAGGCAAGGAACCAACAGTCTGTATTCAAGTGAACCAGATCTGTAAAACTGATGCACACGCAACACTCAGGTTCTGGAGCAGGACTGCAGTTCAAAAGTGGATGAGCAACCAGAACTTTCCACTAAAGTGTACAGCTGGTGAACGCGAAGCAGAAAAAAGAAGTTATTCTTAATGTTGTGTTCTAATACCGGCAGCAGCAGCAATGCCATTTCATTCTTCCGCCTCCTTCGTTCTAAAAAAGGGCATTGTATTGGGTGTCTAAAAGCCGTTTGTCCTGTCGCCTAATTACTGAGCTGAGTGCATGACACGACACTGTGAGCTGCGGATTTCATTTGAAATACTTTTTCAGCTGTACCCAACGTGTTTTTGGTTGTGAACTGCAGATTCAGAAAATTTTGATTGGCCAGCTGATGCCTTACGTAATTAATTGCGTGTGCAACAGCTGTTCTGTTGTATATGATGCTTCCATTGACGATGAACTGTATTTCTTGCGCTTGACTGTTTGTGTTGGCACTTCTGACTGTTGCCTTATGCATTTAATACGTGTATGTTTATTGGATTTGTCTGAGACTGCAGTCTTTGTAACTTTTTTTATTTTCACAAGGGATAATGATGAACAATATATGTGGCTTTCAGTGGCACAGGAACGCAGCAACTATGGGGTGACTGATTTGCTATAAAGTTGGAACTGTGATTTCCTGCTTCCTTGATTTAAAGGCTGGTTGTCTGTGATATCTGCGCCTTTGGCTCAACACATCCCATTTTATAAATCCTTAGTTGCCCGGCTCTCTAGCGAAGTTGGTTAAACCTGACTTTCGCGGCGGCCGGGTGACGAACTCCGTGTGGTCCGGGTTCACTCCCGGGGGTAGGCAGAAAAGCCACATTTCTCCCAGATTAACGGTACCTATAATGGAATCAATGCCGAAGGGTTGCGATATCCATAGTACCGAGCCAAAGGGTTTACAACTTATGGTTTCTGGATACGTTAAAAAAATAAATAAATCCTTAGTTTAATTAGGAAGAATTTGGAAGCAACAGAGATTTGGTTTCTGAGACGAATGTTACGACTACCTTGGACGGCCAGAGTAACCAACAACGATTGCTTGAAAGAAGCTAATGAAAGTAGATCTCTACATAAAACAACAAGAAAGAGACACTGTTCTTTAGCCACATAATGAGAAGAGAGACATTGGAGAACATTGTGACAACTTGAAATAAAAGGGCGTAGAGTCAGGCCAAGAGAGATGATGCTGGATGGGCTGAAACGATGGCAGGGAGGGATATCATAACAAGAGCTGTTCCAGGGATCGTGATCTTTGGAGAGGCATGAGCGCCTACGCCAGTTGGCAGGGCACATGATGATGATGATAATTAGTCGTCTTTTACGACATGCTTATTAACGTGCAATGGGTAGGTTCTCTTAGTTAGTTAGTTAGTTAGTTAGTTAGTTGGGTTATCATCATTGCACTCCGGACATGTCCATAGGTGCTCAGATCCTCCCCTCAGTATGAATCCCAACGTCCGATGGCTAATAGTACCAGTTCTATGTTGATTAACAAATCTTCTGACGTGTCCGGTGTGCGTCTCGTTTTTTGCTGTGCCGATCTTAATTCCCAAGTCTGCCATTCTGGCGAGTGATGTGGATTCACTGCCACCAAAGTCCTCTATCCTTCCCATTTCTCTGAGGGCATTGATAATATCAGCATGATCCATAGGCCGACCGTCGGTAGTGATAGCGGATCTAGCCAGCCTGTCAGCTCTTTCATTTCCATCGACGCCTGCGTGTCCCGGAACAAAAATAAAGGTGACTCCTCGCACAGTGGACTTCTGAATTGATTCAAGCCATTGTCTTCGCACTGAACCTGCCTGAACCCTCCGGATCATACTCATTGAATCACTGAGTATACATATGCCTCTGTAAAGGTTCTCTTCCCCCTATTATGGGACCCTTTGACCCATCTGGACAGCACCATTCAACATCACGATGATGATATGGCCATTCTAAAATAATGAAGACATTAAGAGTCCATTGCGTATTGATATCACGTCATTAAAACGCCAGCAGCGTAGCAACAACACTCCACAGTCTAAATGACAGCTATATCCATAGCACACGTTTTGTCTGCCAGTAACCAGTTGACATCAAAACCACTCACCTCCGACCGGATCAGTCAATAAATCAATCGATACCAGCTTCTGGTGATGTCAACGGAATACGATGTTATAAGATGGACTGTTGTTTCTGAGCCATTTTGAACGGAGCAGATTGCATGGCATCTTTCCTTGGCTAGATATAACTACTTCTGCGATAAGCATTCATTGGGAAATTGTCAAGTGCGTGTGCATAAATTGGACGCGGGTTTTTCTGAACTTGGTAATATTTGTCATGCGTTATTTTGTATTTGTTATTTAGCTGATGTCGTACAAAAAGTTTTTAAAATTTTAAGTGTAACCCCAGAAGTTCATCGCCGTAAAGAAAGATTGTATGTGTGTGTGTGTGTGTGTTTACGTTTATCATCATCATCCTTCTCCTTAAGAGCACCTACGTACTGAATATTTCGATGCCAAATAACGAGAGATACACTACATCTCTGCTTCACTCAAGTTTCGACTCCATACCAACCACTTAAACCATAACCTATGTTTACTGGATACTCTGAAATCTCATACATTGTGATAATAATTTATTTTTTTTAACTGGTATACAATAACATTCCAGGATTCCCCCACAATGATGTTCTGTAGTTGGTTGTACACAATCTCGCGCGCACGCCCGCACGCACGCACACATACAAAGGTGAATTTGTATTTGTAATTTTTTTTTTTCAGAATATAAAGAACAAAGTTTTTTTTTTTTTTTAATTTGAAGTTTTTGTCTGGGTAAAAGTTGTGCCTTCGATTTTCCCCACAATTCATTTGTTAGTTATTGCCTTTATTATAACCATTTTGCGGCGTAGACAGGGAGGGTCTTTGAGTCTGAGGATTTACAGCCGCATGGCTAGTGCTGTCGCTACGACTGTGCAGGTGAGGATTTTATTTTGCCCCCGACAGAAAAAAATCCCCAGCCTTACAGAGGATTCGAACCTGGGTCTCCCGCTGGAGAGTTTAGAGTCCTAACCGCTCGGCCAGCCGCTCCTCTAACAATTCGTCGATGCGCATATATTTGACGTTGAAAACTAAGCTATTTTATAACATTTGTGTATGTTCTTTTTATTATTATTTAACGTGGCTCTCCAAAATATAAAGACAGACAGAAATGTATTTACTATTTCATTGTTATGTGTCCTGATGAATTAAAATTGCATATTTTTTATTTTTTATTTTATTTGATACTCCTAAGAAAGATAACTGCTTATTCACCGTCCTTTTTGGGATGACATTTTTCGTTATTTGAAGCCCCACTCTGGCTCTTGTCAGGGGCAGCAATATAGCCAGGCTATAAATATGGCCTAATGGCTGAACGCGGTTTCTGGAACTTCTCCACGGTGATCCTCATCCACATTATGTCATCGGGTGTTTATCGCTTGTGTGATGTCCTCGTGGGATAGAAAGTTCGTCAGTCATTAAGAAAGACAATGTTTTTGTTTTGTGGTTTTGGCTTCTTTTTAATGAAAAGACAGGCATCACCATTTGTGGTTTAGAATATGGTGAAAATATGGGGGTGACTGCAGTCAAGCTAATAAAGTGAGATATATAGATATGAGATATATTAGTGAGAAACCTAGATTAGTTTTATAGACGAGATTGCAACCTTAAAGACATACTTGTCCGAAGCCGACTCCCACCGATCCACACAGCACTTCCTTTTGGGACTACAATGCACACGTAGTACGTGCAAGACATGTCCTTTCGTTGTCCAGACTTCTTCGGTCAGTTTCCCTAATGGTTCTTTCCAAATTAGGGAACCTTTTATTTGCGAATCCCGCAACGTAATTTATGCAATTGTCTGCAAACGATGCAGCAAGGCATGCATTAGGGAAACTGGCAGGAAGCTATCTGATCGTTTCCGGGAACACCTCTCCCATATTGACAAGAAGACACTTAAACCAATCCCTCTCCATTTTAATAGCTCTGACTACAGAGGTAAAGATGATATATCCGTCACAGCATTAAAATCTTGCTCTGGCGATCATACTACGCGCCTCGCTTTGGAAAATCGCCTCATCCACAGCTTAGGCGTTCTTAGTCCAGGTGGTGTCAATATCCAACATACCTTCATCTAAATACTTCTACTCTTATCCCATTTTAAATGTTAATTATTTTTTTTCATATTATTACTTTATTCTATTTCTTATCAGTATCATTTATTTATCATTAACATTTTTATTTCTTTTATTCCTAGTATTATATCATATATTAACAATACTACTGTTTATTATTTTTGTGTGACTATATTTTTTAGCCATCGTTTATTTTATTTCATTTATTCCACATCACATTTTTTTAAACGTTGCTCACGTCACCCCTTAGAGATTTACATACTATCCTCTCCTCGTTGTTACGTTTGTGTAGTTCACTTATGTTTGAAAAAGGCTGCCCGGCGGAAACGTTACGTTGTGTTGTTTTGTGCACGTTTTTCTGCTTCCCCATTTTGTTGAACTTTTTTAGTCAAATTTCTCTGGAGTTCCGTATTTGAGATTAGTTGATTCCCTTTAGAAAGACAAAGATGTATTAGTTAATGACCTAAGAAAGATCATTATTGAATGCCTTGTTAGCTGGCAAAGGGGTGTATGCGTCCCCACATATCTGTCTTTAGTGTTCAGGATCAATTCCACTGATGATATTCCTCCATGCCACTGTCTTAAGCTTTCTTTAGAAGAAAGATAACATTATATAAATCAATTAGCTCTGTCCTTTGAGGGGAAAAAACTTTACCTTTCTTTTTAATTGATGCCTTCTAACAAAATATGTCACATATATAATTAGCTGCTTTAAAATGTGCAGATAAAAGAACACAACGTAATTTATGGAATATACAAAAACCAGTGCCATGTGACAGCGGCATATTGAGAATAATTATGTGAATACTGAAGTGCTGGATTAAATTCCACCAAATTTCACTAGAATGTCTTTGCACTAAACCAAGCAGGTTCAAACGACTGAAGGCTGCACCCCCCCCCCCCCCCCCAAAAAAAAAACCACCACCAAAAAAAAGTGGTGTTGGAGCTAGAGGAAGAAGTTAAACAGATGAGAAGAGCATAAGGTGAGCTGCATTGATAGAAAAGGATAGGGTGGTTTGGTGTGAATAGGTTGATGCTCCGTTGAGGATAAAGAGCAGTCAGCGAAGAAGAAGGAGCAGGATTCAATCAGAAATTAGTGACGATTGTCGGGACGCTGAACGATCTGGTAAACGTTAAAAAAGAAAAAAATATATATATGTAAGTAAATATATGTGTGTGAGTTTCATACAGAACAAAGACTTTGACTGCATAAAGCAGGAAAACTAAACATCACACCGATTGAACAATTAGACAATAATGCACAATCTGTTAAAAATAAAGAATGAGTATTGGAAGCACGGGAGTCGCGGTGGTCTAGCAGCTAGATGCTCGCCTGCAGATCGGAAGGTCGTGGGTTCTCTTCCTGGCAAAGCTGGATTTTTTTTTTCTTTAATGACTTTGGCTCCCAGGTCGACCCAGCCTTGAGTGAGTACCGGGTGCAGTCCTGCGAAGTGAATGCCCCTGACGTGATGCTGACCACATCACCCATCTTGTGCCGCTGGTCTAGCCCTATATACCCAATACGTCTGAAAAGCGTGGAAAAGTGTCCATTATTTTTTTACTGGCAACAAACAAAGGCAGTTAGAATAAACAACCCTTTACAAAGATTTAAAAAAATAAGATTCCTAAAAAAAAAAAAAAGGAGGTGTCAGACAAGGATGTGTACTATCTACTGGTTTGTTTTTATTAGACGGTGAATACATAATGAGATGGGCAAAAGATATACCAGGGTTCACGGTTGATGGTCGTCACATAAATAACTTATGCTAGGCAGACAACTCGGTCTTGATAAATGCGCGTCAGAAGGAACTGTATAAAACATCATTTTCATTGACTGTATACAATTGTGTCTGCTCCTGCTGCGTTCACCCTTTGAACAGGTAGGTGGCATGCTGTGTTGTGGTTTACATCTAGGCTGCGATATTTGTAATTGAGGATTATCATAATCGATTTCATCAAACTAATTAGTCGCCTATTAATGTTTTGCTTACTGAAGCAGTTGATCTATTCACCCCCTCCCATAACCAAAATAGGGCCCTAGAACCCACACGGGGGGGGGGGGGGGGGGGGGTAGAAAGTGGAAAATGAGTCTATCTGGTTAACGGAAAGACAACAGTAATGGTAATACACACACACACACACACACACAGAAAAAGATTGTTGAAGTAATACCTATCCAGGATTGCAGTCTGCAAGATGAAAATGAAACATACAAATTCGGGAAATCCCGTTCAACTATAAGGCCATATAGCACCGTTATCTGGGGCCCCACTACCAACTAGATATCACCTACGACCAGGTCACATATTAGCTCGTCGTTAGACGACTTCGTCGCCGGTCGGGACAGTATTCGGGTCTATCTCCTTTGATCTCATCAACATTGCAGAAGTCCTTTTCAGGGCTTTTGATGGTGTGCAATGATAAGCTATTTTATATGGCGCACATAAGTCATAATTATAACCTAAAGCTACCCCTTCGGGGATGGTAGTTGAAAGTGTCCTTTTTCTTTTTCTCCAGCAAAGCATTGATTGCTAACGAAGTAAATTAAAGTCTAAACGTTCAAGTGATCTCGGTGGCGATAATTTGGGACAAGTCCACAAGTCAAGTATCTAGACACATTATTGACATCGGAACACAGAATATAATAGGACAAACATAAACCTCGTTGTTTTATGAACAAGAAGATAATCTTTTGCCATAAATACCTTCAATAAAAGTTACTTTAAAAAAAAATTATAGCGTGTTACATTGAACCAGTTTTGATATATGACAGCATCTTCAGTACACATAGTCAAAAGGCTACCTTCCTTCATTCTCTCCAGGTCACATTGTAACTCAACAAACTTGTTTCCGAGGGGGAAATCAATTTACCCAGAATGCATTGAATAAGAGCAATGATTTCCTGTTAGAACAGACACGCGAAAACTTTATGGCCGAACGGTTAGAGCGCTAGGCTCTCAAGCAGGAGACCCAGGATCGAATCCTCGGTAAAGCTGGGGATTTTTTTCTGTCGAGGGCAAAATAATATCCTCACCTGCACAGGCGTGGCGACAGCACTAGCCATGCGGCTGTATATTCTCAGGCTCAAAAATCCCCTGTCTGTACCGCGAAAAGTGCGTAAATAAAGGCAGTAGTTGGCAGTTCTCATATCTTTTTTTGTCTTTATGTGGTTTTGTTGTTGTTTAATAGTCTCATTATTAATAATAATAGTAATAAACAAAGTAAGAGTAAATCTATATTCGAAATGCAAAAAAAAAAAGTGGGGGGGGGGGGGGGGGTTGAAATTAATGGAAAATTAACATATGTGAAATGAGATGCATGAGAAAATGAATACAAGACATGAAAGACGTATGGTTATGAAAACACCATGGGCTAGAGAAAGAGAGACTGTCAGACTAGAAGGAGCGACGTTCTGTAAAGGACCTGATAATCTGACGATGGTGGGTGCACAAACAATCAGTGTGCAGTTCTGGAGGGAAAACAGTTGACTTAACAGGCACTTCCTTTTTGACACCAAAGTTTATTGTGCTCAAACTACGCACACGTCTCTTCTAGAACGTGCTACGACGTCATCAATACTGGTCCTAGCTACGGCGGAAACAACAAGACGTCTGTTGTGCGGTAAACTTGACCAAAAATAGCTTGCCTGTCCTTTTGTAATGATCTCAAACAATGACTGCATTGATTGGCGCGATTTCTGTTTGACGTTTCAATCAATTTTACATGCACCCACGGTTTATTGTGGGACCATAGTTTGCCAACCCCACTTAGAGCCTCTGCTGAGTTGAGTTGAGTCAAGAACTGACATCATAGCACTCGGGGCATTCACATGCATGCTCCGTCCTCATCTTCAGCGGTACTAATGGTACCGGTCACAATCTGGTTAAATGTACGTTCTGCCTTTTCTCTGAGTGTAGTCAGTCGGCCAGACCATCTGATTACACCCAGGTGCCCCATTCTCTCCAGGCCATAATAATCTTCTTTCTCTACTGATTCCGTTGCTTGTTCCCAGGCAAGACCCTCTGGTTACACCCAGGTGCCTCATTCTCTACAGGCCACAATAATCTTCTTTCTCTACAGATTCCGTTGCTTGTTCCCAAAGGGCATTGACCAGAGTCTCTGCTGAACATGTAGAATGTGAAGAGGAGTAAAATAGATTAAAGAAGAAAAAGAACAGACTGGGTGAAGAAGAAGATGATAATAACGTAGACGGTTGATTTTAAACATTGATTTTTGTGTTTTATTAACTATTATTTAATCGTCTACAGTATAATGATACACAATTGTTTAATCGTCTACAGTATAATGATACACAATTGTTTAATCGTCTACAGTATAATGATACACAATTGTTTAATCGTCTACAGCAATAGAGCAATCCCGCTTTCCCAGAACTGATTTTCGGAATTCTGTGAGATTTTTATTGCTTGAACTGCAATATACAAAATGAATAAACACGCAACAGCCAGCCGGGATAGAGAAATGGACGAACATCTTGATGTGAACGATACAGCCAATTCGGAACTAAATAAAAATATAAAGAAAAGCTATAATAAAATGCACATCTCTTCCAGTGGAAATTCCGCAGAAGCAATGAGTAACCAAGAAGTACGTGGAAATAATATGAGGGTAATTTGCCATCCTTCTCCCAAGACACAGCCGGAAGGTGCGTTACCAGAACACCGCCCAGCATCTCGACATGAGTCAATGAATAAAAAAGTCTCGTTTCCTGAAAGACCTGGGACCTCTATGTCTAAATCCGGATCAGCAAGACCTAGATCATCAAGACACGGAGCCGGGCATAAACTGAAAGCCAACCAAGCGTCCAGCGGGGAAGAAGATGATGAAGTTCTTTCTGATTTGTTGGGTACAGTCCGGCAGTATGCCCAAGAAATTCGTGAAATGTATGCCCCAATGAAGAAAGATGAAGAAGAAAGGACGCAGAGAAGGAAACATCGAAACAGTAGACGAAAAAGCAAAGAATTGAATAAGGACCATGCAGAGCAAACTGACAAACGCAGATCGTCTCATTTTCACCTAGAAGTTCGCGCGGAGATTCATAAATTAGAAGATTCTACATCTGATAACACTTTCGAGAGAGGAAAATTAAAACAAGGGATGTCGACGAATTCAAGGAGTCACCAAACATCACCAACCAATCATGCGGCTTCTCTGCAAGTTGAGGAAGTCAATCTCTCCAGTTCATGGCCAAGAAGCAACCAGATGTCAACATCCCTAGAGCGATACTGGTCGGATGTAAACGGTACCAAACACAAACCAGTCACTTCTTCGTCTCCAAAGGCTTACAACCGATCTAAGACTCCGTCAGACTGGAATGAAGCCATCACAGTTCAACACGAGAAAGAGATGTTAAACAGAGCATTTCAGCGAATTAACAAACCGTATGGGGATCCTTTAATCCGCAACTTCCCTAACAGTATGCCTGTTTCTCAAATCCAAGAGCAATTTCTTGATTCGCGCCAGAGTGTTATAGAAGTTGCCAGACAGCATAAACAAGCCAAACAGTGTGTGTTGCCAAGTATTAGTATACTTGCTCCACCTTCAGATTTCAGAAAAACATCTCGACGTTCTTCGGGTGGCATGCTGCCTCTGTTAACAGCAGAAAACATGAGCTCAGACACAACTATCATTCCTTCGGCTCCGTCTCTTGAAGGAGACCAAACGATGTGATGTTGACTGTTGAACTTAAACCTAGTGACAGTGACCTTGTCAGTCACTTGACCTGCTTCAGACAAGTTGGACAGATCAATACGTCTAGCTGATTTTCTAAATGATTACACAATTTGTTTGTTTTTTCATTGTTTGTATTCGTGATGTCAAAATATATTTCCTTAAAAGAAAACAATACAACCTGTTAAAAGTTAACTTTAATTATTTGTATTTTCCGTAATGGAAAAAAATTTTGAAATATTGTGTCACTATATTTTAAATTTGCTGTAAATGTTGATTTTTCAAAATAATCTTTTCAAACAATTTTGTGAAAAATGAGAAGTTGTGACTCTTCTTTTAATTGTGATAAAGATAGTTTGTCTTTGCTTTTCTTTTTTGCAGAAAATGTGAAAACTATTTACACACAGAGAAGAGGTTTTTTTTTTTTTTAGAAGAATGCAAATAATATCGAAGAATGATAATGGAATGATAATCACAGTGTAAAACTGGAGTGAATAATTCCACAATTTATTGTTGGTAGTCGGTAAACGAATGACAATTCTGAAATTTAGCCAAGGGAAAAGATGCAGTAAAATAAATGTCTGCAAAAGGGCATCATAGATCCTTTTACCCAAATGTTACCTGGAACTAGGGCTGTACCGAATATTCGCTTCGTATTCGCTTCGGGGCCGAATAGTGGACCTAATAACCATTCGGTATTCGGCCGAATGCTCGCGGTCGGGCCGAATACGAATAGTGGTTACCTTACACTCGTTTTGCATACACTGCCATGGACCGAAATAACTCTCTAATTAGCACAATAGTTGCTGTTGCCTAAGTTTGTCGTAGCGGGGGAAAACTGCGACCCAATTGCGTGGTACAGCAGCTGGCAAGGTCTTTGCCTGCTGACTTGACCGAGGCATCACAGCGGAGGTTCTCAAACTGGATGCGTATGCCAGGGGTGCCGCGGCAATAATAAAGAAAAGTCGGCTATAAATTGGGACATCATTAAAAAAGGCACGAAGATACTTAAAGGTTAAAATTTAAATTGTCTTGCCTCGCCCCTGTCGAGCTTTTTTCCTTGTTTCACATTCAAAGTGTGTCAAATTGCATAAAATGCCAACCGCAGCGTGATAACAATTTTCTTTGTATTTATCTCGAGGTGCGACTAATCCTCCATCTGTATTCGTGAAGGTGCAGCGGATAAGTAAGGTTGTAATTACATTTTGGCTGAAATTTTAAAGTGGAAAATGTAGTCTGTACAATAGTCACTGTTAGCCTTGTCAGGTAAGAACTTATATCTAGAAGGTATGCGTTGTGAGTCCTGGACAATCGGTAGGCAGACCAAACAATTGCTTGAGGCCTCAAAGATGTGGTTTTACAGAAAAATGCTTAAAATACCATGGACAGCCCCCGCCCCCCCCCCCCCTCTTCCAAAAAAAAGCAATAAAGAGGTTTTGAAAGTTGCGGGAGCTCGAAGACAACTAATCACAGACATCAGAAGGAGACAGTCATCATTTTTCGGCCGTGTTATGAGAAGGATAATGGAACATTTGGTGACCACTGGAAAGATCTGTGGGAGGAGGGATAGAGGAAGACAACGAGAGAAGATTCTTGACCGTTGCATAGCATGGAGGTGTGTCAGCACACGTACTAATACATGCTGAGAGAGATCGCAGATTGTGGCAGGGCATATTCGTCCACGCCAGTCGGCAAGGCACCCGATGATGACGATACACTATTCGTATTCTTATTCGGTCTGGCGGGCGTGCGGGGCGGCACCAGGCGTATGGACTCCTACGGGACATCCATTGCCCCTTCCCTAGCAGGCAGGCAATACTAGGGCGACCAGTCATTTCCTGCAGTACTCTATCTTTTCGTATGGATTTAAAAAAATACATAAGAATCGTCGCCGGAGCTACAGGGCACGTGCTCTGCGCTTGACACATTATTCAGCGGTTAGTGAAGAGGGAGTGAGGAGGAGACGACGAGGAAATGGGGAGAGAAGAAGGCATAGAAATAGGAGGGCGGGTGCTAGGAGAACAAGGCGAAAAGCGGAGAGATTGAGCTTTAATCATGTAAGAGTAGGATACTGGAACTGTCAGAGTGCCAGGCAGAGAGGTCCTGTACTGGAGAGGTTGATCTTTGATTTTGATGTCATGATGCTCCAGGAGTTAAATACAGACAGATATCATTGCCCGGGGTACGCCAGTTATATAAACCCTGTTGGACAGGAGAGACATGGACAAGGTCTAGTGGTAAAGGAGGGAGTGAAGCATGTGGTGCTTGACTAGAGCCAGTGGAACCACAGTGGACGAGAGGTTCAAGGGATACAGGTGAAAATTGGTGGCCTAAGTTGGAACCTCGTAAATCAGACAAGTTTGCATCCTTGAGAACATTAGGCGAGGAGAAGAGTGGGTCAAAGTACCACCTGAGCAGTCAGACTTGTGTAGAGTCATAATCACGCTGAGCCGGGAATGCAGAGACTGGCCAGCAGGTGCCACAGAGGTGGAAATTTAGCAATTAATTCAAGATAATGCTCGCTCAGAGGATTTGATCATTTACACAGACGGTTCAGTGTCAAGAGGCAAAAGAAGTGCTTGGGGCTTTTTAGCGAAAGTTAATGGTCGACGTTTGGTGCAGCAGAGCCTAGCATATGATACCACAACATCCAGCTTAAGAATGGAGGTGGAGGTGGTCACTGCAGCTTTCCGCTGGCTAGAGAACACGACACACACACACACACACACACACACACACACACACACACACACACACACACATTGTAATTGTAACTGATTCAGAAAGCATGCTGAGGAAGATCAGAACAGGTATGCTTCGCGCAGAGTAGCATGCTTCGCTGCGGAGGACACGAGTGAGGAGTATTGTCAGGATTTTTTCACCGGGTCACGCCGGTATGTTGGGAAATGAACAGGCGGACAGACTGGCTGGCTCTGCACAACTTGGTGGAATACTGCTACATGATAGAGCAGACGTGGTTAGTGCCTTGTGGGAGAGTGTGTACAATGTGGAGGAGCAGATGGATCACCACAGTTTGGTGAGATTGATGCAGTTGGGGGTGACGAGAGGTTCTGGCAGAAGCTCAAGGCTCAGAGGAAAGGCAAGACGGACATTTAATCAGAAAGCTACTGGCACCATTTGTATCGGAACTCTTCGCTGGCTGCTGAAGATGGAGACGGAGCGCTTATGGGAATGCCCCGGGTGCTGTGATGTCGGTTCTTGAATCAAATCAAATCAAATCATTTGGTCGAATAGTTAGTCCCGCTATTCGTATTCGGCCGAATAGTAAAAATCACTATTCGATACTGCCCTACCTGGAACAGTGTTTATTTTAATGTTTGCGCGTTTATCACAATTGAATTTAGTGTGTGGGTTTGTAGATTTTACACTGTATGTTTGCTTTAAGGATTAAAAAAAAAAAAAAAAAACTAATGTTCCTACTAAACAAAAATTATTCTGTGTATCATATCCACAATGAAAGCCAGCTACAGTGCTACTAGTGTCTTTTCCTTGATGTGCCCCAATCTCTTCCACCACGGGATTCTCAAGCTCTCTTCTGTAATTCATGATGACGATGACGGTTTGAAAAAAAAAAAGGAAAAAAAAAAAGAAACATCTGCTAGAGAAATCTAATCCCTAGTTCTCGAATATCATGAAATTGTTAACTTATTTATTAGTAGAGGCTCTAGCTTTCCTGCAGATGGGTCTTTCCATTACTGCCCCATTCTTGTGCCAAATTCACAAAAAAAATTTCCTTTACTACTTCTGCCATTAAGCGGCGTGGGGGAGAAATAATTTGCGATCCAGTGCACTTTGGCTGCCACTGGCTATTGTCATGCCGTGAAGGCGTAGAGTGTCTTTAATGTTGTCGATCCATGTTTTCCACGGCCGTCCTCTTGCTCTTGTAGCTGATTTTCTGAGATGTAGTGCTTGTAATGGTATTTGATCTTGTTGCATTCTAACAAGATGGCCAAACCACTTGATCTGCTGTTTCTCGATGAATCTAGTACAAGATGTCAATCCCACAATTTGCCTGATAGTTTCATTATTCACTCCAGAATCATCCTTTACTGTTCCATTTGAAAAACTAGTGTAAAACATCAGACCCAGTAAAAAGGTGATATTCCCACCCATGAAAAGAAAAAAATGCATAAGGCAGCAGTCAGAAGTGCCAACATTACCAGTGCCCAACTAGAGCTGTGAATGCACTTTTATTTTACAAATCTGGCTTATTTGTATGCAGATTATTGGTCTCTTGCCTCTCAGGCAGATGCATCCTAAATTTAAAGGAAACAACATTAATTAGAAGATGGGAAATTGGATAAAGAAATTGACATTAGATGCAGTAAAGCAAACCAAGTATTGGGACAGCTAGCCCCCCTCTTACAGCATAAGACAATCCCAGTCAGCACAAAGAGACATCTTATTCAAAGCATATTTATTCCAACTCTGTGCTACCAGTGCCAGACATGGTCACTCACAACAAACTATAAAAGAAAATTAGTAACCACGGAAGTGAGATGTCTGAGAAGGGCTGTAGGAGTGACCATAAGAGATAAGATCAGAAATGAGATCATAAGAGAACAAGTCGGCACAGAACCAATTCTTGATTACATACAAAGACAGCAAGTGAAATGGTTTGCCCACTTAGAGAGAATGCCTTGTGACACCATACCATACAAAGCATACATGGGAAGAGAAGAAGGACGTAGAGCACGTGGTAGACCAAGAACAAGATGGAAGGATAACATCAGAGAAACTCTACAACAGCACGATGTGCCTATGGTCGAGGCAGCCAGAAGAGCTAGAAACAGAACCTTATATCTCCCTCGACAGCCACAGCGGTAAAAGAGGAAGTCTTCTTCTTCTTTCGTTCGCATGAAATAAATTGTCTATATCTGCAAAGCCGTCTCTTGTATGAATTTCACTGTCTTTTGTAATTCACTAAGCGGCCCGTAAAGTTTGACTTCCACAAGTGTCTCTTTTGGCCAAATGTTTTG